GGAAATTGAAAGATCACGTCGACCGTACTCGTGGAAGGAATGTGGAAATCTACTTTTCCGACTCCTCCACGGTGGAACGTAGTACTTCCAAATCCAACTCCATCGGCCGACCCGACCTCGGAGCATCTTCGAGAGAAAAGTCTCCTTTCTTGAATTTGGCGAACCAATTCTTGCATGTCATGTAAGAGATGACGTCCTCACCGTATGTATCCACCAGCTTGGTATGGGCTTCCTTTGCATTCCAGCCGAAATCGTGGAGCAAAACCAAACAGTGGCGCAGGTACGTTTTGTCACAGTGCAAATTGTGCGACATTGTGTACTGCAAATGCAAGCTCGGTGAGTGATAGCTAGTGTAATGAAAGAGTATAATGTACACGTCACGCACACGTGATGACGTAATACCAACATCCATGCGAACGAAATAGGAGAGGATCAAACACGTGTATAAGAACTTATGCAACAACCTAATACACTACTCAGTCAGTGATGGTCGCTTAACAGCTATACACTATGCCAGTCCATTCATTTCAAAAAAGTAATGCTAGCATTTCGTATCACAGTCTTTTTTTGTAAGCCCCATGTTCTTCGCCTGATCTCCTGAGTTTCCACTCGATTAAAGCCGACTTTCAGGTAGCTCAGTGGCCTTCCAACTCCTTGAGTTTAGCATGACGTTCCTGCGCTTAATGTGATGTCGCTTCGCACTTCGTCAATGATTTCTCCCACCTATGGTGCGAAAAAAACGATTCCTATCTGAGGATACTGACCCTTTTGTAGTAAGTAGACTGCACACTTCCGAATAGACAGAGGTCGTATTGAGGCTTCCTACGGAAGGGGTTATTTAAACGAGGTCCCCCTTCTATGCTCGACCCTGCTTCGGAGAAGAAATAAAGCAACAATCAGAGAATATTTAAAAAATGAGAAAATTTATTGGGGCAAAGAGTATAAATGCCGTACATATGACCTGTATAAGTAAAAACAAAAATTCGAACAAGTAAACAAGTAACGGTCATCACCTCGACTTTTCATAATTTCCTAATGACTTTCTCAATATAATCACTGATTCTAAACAACGAGCATCATGCAACAGGAACAATAGGTGTCATATTTATTAGTAAAAGTTGATTGTCTCCACATATTTAGCGCTGTTAGGATGTGGAATGGCAACACCAGCCTCCTGTGCAACCAGAGCTGCAGCACCTACAGCGCTGGACGTGGACGGTCTGTAGATGTTAACCCTCGGTATCCAAGATCCTGTTACGGCGTGTACAAAACCTAAATACAGCAAACGTCTTGTTCTACACCTAAAACCTACGTACGATCGATGTGATTATCAGCCTCTAAGTGTTTAAGCACAGCTCATTCCTATCCCCTCATCAGTATGCAGTGACATCATCCATATACGACCGCTAACTAATTTGATTTCAGATATAGAGGCATAAAAACTTCAAACTAGTCAGTAGCACCCTTTTTAATACAGACTTTTTGAACTGCACACGGAAATTTTGCGTTCTCAGACTAAGTAAGCCTGAAAAAGCTATTCCAAAAAGTTGCGTCGATTCATTAGGGACAGAATGGTGCAGAGGAGTATCGCAGTCCCGCAGCCACCACCATGTTGACATTTCGTGCATTTCGGAAGTTTCTAATAATCTAGAAAGGACAGCGCGCTGTCAAGCGTTCTGAAGAAAGTACAAAACAATGCAAGAACAGCTAGACAGCCTGCTTTTTGTTTGGTAGGCTAGGTTACTCAGTGTAAGCCTTGTTTGGTAAGCTAAGTTACTCAGGGCATGTCAAAGGCACGGGGACGTCGAAGAATATCCCAGTAGCGCGACGGTCGCCAGAAACGTGCGAAACTCTACTGGATCAGAAAGCAAAAAAAGGGAACGAAACGCAAGGATGTATTTTTGCCGTCTAAGGGGTCTTTTTTTGTACGCGGCACTAATTCCACCTCCATTCAGAGCTTTGGTAGCTTGAATAAGAAATGGCCTATGTAATCAATCGAGAGGACTAGCCGATTTTCAAGTCAATCGTTCTAGCCTCCCGACCAGTCTAGTATCCATGAAATCGCCAAGGAGGGACAAAAAGCTTCGTTGGCTTGGGCTAGAGCCAATCTGAGATATGATCCCCATACTACGCGGTAGATGGTGCCAGTTGTCTCTACACCACCTCCGCTCTAGCGAACTACTGTCATTGTTGTGTTACTGCATATTGTTATTGGATACCGTTGGATCACCGTTGAATAAGAAGAATGAGGGAGCTAAACCTTTTGATAACACTACTCCTTGGCTTGTTCCAGGCTTTTTTTCGCTACTGAACACGGTGATTGTTTACAGAAAATGCAGCAGGAGCAGTGGGTGCGTGCGCTAGGACACTTCGACGGCTAGTGAGGTATGCAGCAGCAGGACATCACAGTAACGGGCTGCTCAAAACTCGCACAAGTTATGGAGGTATTCGTAGGAGTCAGCTCAAGAAGAATACAGGACGGAACAGCAAATGTAAGCGGTACTGTAAGACCTGATGTCCCGCGAGATACTCTTGTTTACTAACAGCTACCGTGTGGTGAATGGGTCAACGTGCGTGAGCCAAACTGCTTTTGAAAAACGGAGCCCTTCAAAAATGGTGCCTTGGTGGCAAATTTTCCCTTCCTGAGAGTCCTTTGAGAGGGGGGGGGGCTATCAGCGCGGTGCTACTGAGCCCTTCGCTGCTTCTCTTCAGCCTTTTTGCAACGCGGTTTCGGTCAGAGTCTAGTCTGTATGAATCTGGCACCCACAAGGGAGGTACAGGGCGTGCCCCGCTTTTTCGAAACGGTTTATTGCACTTTGTAGGGCCTTGCCCATGAACCATAAAAGTGGGCTTCGTTTTGGCTGAGCGGCCCCTGGAATGCCAAAAAAGGAGCGAAAAAGAAACCTATGGAAACTGATTGTTTTTGAGCCTCTACGAGCTGTAAACCGCTTGAAACTTTGACCAGTTGCTGAATGGAGGGACCCTATAAAGGTACTATCGGAATCGAAGAGAAAAGTAGTCGGGGTATGGGGTCTTACTTGTGGCACGTAATCAAGCGTGAACGGCTTCATGGAATGGTTTCTTCAACGATCGGAGGAATGTTCAGCAACAACGATCGGATGGCCTAGTGGATAGCGTGAAGGATTCTCAAGCGGACAGTTGGGGTGGGGTTGATGGTTCGACTCCCCTCGGCGTGCGAGTTTTTGCATTTTTTATGTTTTGCTGTTTTCGCGTTCAAATATGTCTGTGCGTGAGTATGCGTTCGATAACTGCCATTTATGGGCACATTTTAAATGGGAACACTCCATGAATCAGTGCTATTCAATTATTACAGGTTTTACATACCATTAAGCAAGACCGTAATTGAAAGTTGACCTTTATAGGTCAGACCATGCCCGAATCACGAATATGGAACTTATTTGTAGCTACGGTGCCATTTATCGCTAATTGACATGTTTCTCCCAATGAATGCGTTTGCTACACACAAGTAAGGGATGTGTAGCGCTACCCAGGCGCCAAATTACGTCGGCGCCGAAAATAAGTGTGAAAATCATGATCGGGCCATCGATTACCCCTGTAAACAATCTTTCGGCCAAAAAATTTTTTTCGACTTTTTTGGGTGTGTGCGTTGGGTTGTGCCCGACAGTCTTTCTATAGAAGTCTACAGTGCCTCGCCATAGGGACCCCCTATTTTATTAATATCCAAAGATAAAAGTAACAATGCCGATGAAATTCATGCAAAGAGGAAGGAAAGGGAGGCATTCCACCAGGTTTGCTGTCCTGCCCGGCGGCCTGCTACGTCGTCGTTCCATCATCGTCTTTACGAAGATGGGATACTCCGGTCACCACTGCCGACCAAATGGTCCACCAAAACCCAAAAAATCGAAAATTTTTTTGGCTGGAAGTTCGTCCATAAGGGTAATCGATGGTCCTGATTACGATTTTGACACTTATTTTCGACGTCGACGCAATTTGGCGCCAGTATAGCGCTTAACGTCCCTCATATGGGGGTACATAGACGTACCTTTCGCTCCTTTTTTGGCGTTCCTGGGGCCGCTCAGCCAAAACGAAGCCCACTTTTATGGTTCATGGGCAAGGCCCTACAAAGTGCAATAAACCGTTTCGAAAAAGCGGGGCACGCCCTGAACGACCTTCCTGGTCAGGGAGCCGAGCACACATCCACGATGTTTCTGACCATCCCGCAAACGATTCCCAGACTCTCGATCTCAAGACGATGCCACTATTTCTGAACTCCTTTTGTTGAGTGAACGGGACTTCTGCGCATACTTACTACTTCGATGCAATGTTTACAGTTCTCGAGGAGATGTGGAGCTCTCATCTTCAAAGTGCTCGATTTGCGCGACCGCTTCGATAGTTAATAAACGATTGCATAATGATAATAAATCGGAAGCTAGTTGAAACCACGTAAACGTGCTACAAAGCAGGAGGAAGAAGGGGTAAAGTGATAGAAGGAGTCTCTTACCAAGCGTTAATCATGGAAGTAATCATCCTGGAATTAAAGCCGGCGGTAATACGCCATACTGAGGGTTTTGGGGGAAATATTTCATATTCCCTCGAATTCCCTGTCACTTTTCAATTTTCACGATTTTCACTGCTCTTCGTGCGATCCTTACATGTGCAACATACTTGATTGACCGTATCCATAGCAGTCCGCGAGGTCACTATACAGAAGTATAGTTATTGTAATTAGCGTTATTTGCCATACACAGCGTCGTAGGTTGAATTTGAATAAGGCCTAAAAAGCGTCCCCAGTCACTTGGTGCAGACTCATGTGGGTGGAAAAGAAGCGCTGATGGTGGCATGTTGATCGGTTGCCGCATGCGTCTAATGTAAGCGTCAAATCGCATTCAATATTCCATCACAGTTCTGAATGGAAGCCGAATAGAAAGGGGTTGACGAATGTTGGACGCTTTACCGCATTGGAGCTTGAATAGCTCCTAGACTTATGCTTGAAGAGTGATGCATATTTCTGTCTCTGTTCAGTCCGCCCACGCGGACTGGTCAGACTTCAAAACGGTATAAAATTCGACATAATAAGGCTCAGTCTGACCTTTTCTGACAACGTTCCATGACAGGAACACCGATCCCACGAGAACGAGATTAACTTCAGCTCTGCATTCCTTAAATGTTTGCATTTAAGAGCTTAAACGCTCGCGGTTGTCTTTATTAAAAAGTTTTCAATTAGAAGTGAACTCACACTAGGCAGATGACCAGAAGCCACAACAAATTGTTTTCCAAGTAGTTCTCCAGCATCAAAGAACAGCTTGTTTATAGCAGGATCATCCAAATCTATATGCGCAAGAGGTTTAAGGGCTGCACGCTTCTATTAATGTGCAACAACATACGTTTAGCCAGTTCGCCGGTGAATGAGGCGATGTGCGACTTTTGGAATTTATTGTATAGGTACTCCAATATATCAACTTTGTCCTCAATTTTGAAGTGCTGAAAGATACAATGTCTTATCCTTCTCTGAAAAACGAGTTCTATGAATATGCAGAAGCATGTCTCATAACCCTGACGCGATCCAACCATCACAATGCCAGAATTGCAATTTTCGCTAGAACTCGGTGTAAAGGTGTTGCTCGGCGCCCGGGTCACGAATATGCTATTTAGAGCCAGTGACCTATGTCCCTCTTCGCCATCTCAGGAGAGGGGCCCATCAGTAAGATAAGTACAGTGGTTACGAGTATCCGCTCATGCACTTATCGCGGGATAAGCCTTTAACTCGGTTCCGCAGGCGGGAATTTTGCGACCCAGCCAAAATATTTTTAAATGCATTAAAAACGTTATCCATAAGAGGAGCGGGGAAGTGCTCAATCCAAACTCATTTTAAGCGGTCCCTAAAATGATCATTTGTGATGAAACCCACGACAGAAGATGGTTATTCTAATCGCTGATCTCAAATCTGCTTTCAAAATTGCCGAGCTCCTCTCTCTCACAGAGCTTTGAAGGCGTTGTCCCTCGCATTCTCCCATATTTCGTCGCAAATGTCGTCAAAAGAGCCCCATGGTGGTGTGTGGAAAAGCTCTGCCGTTTCGTCATGCAATAATGGCAGTGTTTGTGTCATAAGTAAAAGGTCGTAGGACTAGTTCTTAATTCTGTTCAAATTTTCGCTTTACCAGAAGAAAGGTTCAACAGTGCCAAAATCTCAGCGCTTCCCTACAACCGCCTGTGCAAGTAACTTGCGAACAGTTTTCAAAAAAAATCACACCGCCTCCGATGTTAGAAAAATTTGAGGTGTCAACGTGTGGAAATCTGACTGAATGGCGGCTGTGGGTGGTCTTACGACTCAAACGTTTTTAAAGTGACCATCGGTGACTGCAGGAAATGTGAACCACCAACAGATTTGAAGGCAGATTGCCGGGAATGACAAGATGAATTCTTAAAGAGGATCCAGAGAGGTTGCAGCTGTATCTCAATAGGTGTGAAGGCAATGTGAACGGACGAATGAAACCTCCCTGTCCATTAGGAGAAACGCGGAACAGGTCTCATCACAAACGACCACTTGAACCTAAGACTCCCTTGTTGGTCTCATATAGAAATTTACTAGCAAGAAAAACAGTAGCTCACGACACCTTGAGTAATAGCTCACGAATCAGCTTGGTGGACTCGTGTGGAATCTCCATGCCATCGTCCTCATCGAATAGCAGGCGTATCGCTCTATAATTAGGTGTACTTTCGAAAACCGGATGAGCATGAACGACAATGTAAAAATGAAATGACCTAATAGCGATCCAGAAGCCGCTTCCTCCATCTCCAATTTGGTGACCCCATCCTCCCACTCCGAAAACACGACCATTGTTCAAAAGCACACGACACGATGATCCTGTCCCGGCTACTAGGATGACACCGCCTAAAGAATTTCTAGTAGCACTGAGGTAACTAATTGACCTTATGTTTAAAGAAGTTTATGGATATTTCGAGACTCTAGACTTTACTTTATGCTTTGCCGTACGTGCCGACTGATTACCACTTCCGCTATGTTACGCCATTCCTGCACCTGTCTGGGCTCATTCCTAATGAGTCCTATCTACGCTGAAGGTTTATAAGAAGAAGTTCTCAGCTGAATGCAATGAGTCCTATCTATTCCTGCTGGAGGTTTATAAGTAGAAGTGCTCAGTTGAATGGCTATCTACAGCTGGTTCAGCAGGTTCAAGAAGGGTGACTTCTCCATCAAAGATGAAGACAGGTGTGGGCGCATAGTGACACTGGATTTGGACTTGCTTCGAAACCGCGTTAGGACGATTCTGCCAAGTTACTATACAACTGTTGGGCACTTTTGATGTTTCCTACAAAACCGTTCTTAATGGACTGATGTCGATCGGCAAGGTCCGAAAATCGGGTAGATGCGTACCCCAGGCATTGAAGAGCCCGCCATGTACCACAAGGCAAACATGACGCTCACCTTTCTCACTCTCAAGCGCAGACAAAGGTGGCACGAAAATCTTGTCAATGAGAATGAGGAGTGGATACCGTACTCTAGCATGCATCGCCGTGCATAGCGGGTGGACGAAGAGGCAGAAGAACTGCCAAAACCCATGCTTTGCGCGAAAAAGGTGATGATGTGCATATGATGCGGCGTTCGTGGCATGGACTAGTGAAAGCTACTGGACGAGGGAACCACACTGACGGCCGACGTCTACAGTGCTCAGCAACAAAAGCTGAAGACTCATCTTGAAACAGCTCGTGGACAGCAGACCAGTGTTTACCTTCAGCAGGATAACGATGGATATCTAACAAACTTCCAGAAATCAACTACCCCATGCGCTCTTATGTTTTGCGGATTAAATCCCTTCATTCCTTCCGACTGAGACAGAAACGCGTGAAAGCTTCATTGCGCGGCGAGCTCACTCAACTCTGAACACAAGAACGCAGTTTGATCCACACACCAGAATAACTATTTGGTTTCAACTTTGCAGAAAACGAAGTCCAGTGAATGATGGTTTCTTTCAAAGAACATTCTCACAAATCAGCAGTCAACTGTTGTTCGCGAGCATGTAGATTCCATTGCCTTTCTACACAGGTGGTGCCAACAGCTCTGATAGGCTGTTTCGCCTGTCATGTGTTGCACTCTTATTTTACGTACCAGGAGTTTACATAGACAGGATGAAATCGTCTTTAGAATCGTAGAGTACAAAAGCAAAGAACGTAAGACGAAGCAGTTCATGAAAAATGGTTGTTAGCAGGCTTGAATTTCTTTCTGTTGTTTATTCTTGATTGGTTACCAATCTCTACGAGACAAAGACAGGAAACAAGTTTAAAGTTTTATTTAGAAACTTACCGTGTTCGAACGCCGCAGCAACAGTAGCCACAGAATCTGATGTAAGATAGAGATTATCTGCCAAGTCGCCATGATGCATTTTCAGGTATTCTATGAAAAGTGCATTGTCACGAGCACCTTCGGCGCCAGATAGTCCGAGACCCTTGAAACAGCCAGCTCATTGACATGGAAATACTATGCAAAACCCTGAATAACACACTGATCACCATCAAGTTCTATGGTTGCGATTTCAGCTGCAAAAGCAAAGAACGTAAGACGAAGCAGTTCATGAAAAATGGTTGTTAGCAGGCTTGAATTTCTTTCTGTTGTTTATTCTTGATTGGTTACCAATCTCTACGAGACAAAGACAGGAAACAAGTTTAAAGTTTTATTTAGAAACTTACCGTGTTCGAACGCCGCAGCAACAGTAGCCACAGAATCTGATGTAAGATAGAGATTATCTGCCAAGTCGCCATGATGCATTTTCAGGTATTCTATGAAAAGTGCATTGTCACGAGCACCTTCGGCGCCAGATAGTCCGAGACCCTTGAAACAGCCAGCTCATTGACATGGAAATACTATGCAAAACCCTGAATAACACACTGATCACCATCAAGTTCTATGGTTGCGATTTCAGCTGCAAATTCTATAACAGAAGAAAGCGGGATAGGGAAATTCAGCCCTTCAAGCCCTACTGGTATGTAATCGCTGTCTCCTGCTCTAGGATTAGAGTTCATCGCATTTTGAAGAGCGAGGTCATTCATCATGCACGATCTCGCTCTCCGAGATAAAGATAAGCGGCTTTTCATTGCCATCGCTGTCATATCGGGCAAACTGTTGCCGCTTCAAAATAAATCGGTTGACGAATGGTCTATAATGACCCACGGTCATTATAGTAAGGATGCACGTATATTACTCCTTTTTTGACTCATTATTGAATGTCATATCGGGCAAACTGTTGCCGCTTCAAAATAAATCGGTTGACGAATGGTCTATAATGACCCACGGTCATTAGAGTAAGGATGCACGTATATTACTCCTTTTTTGACTCATTATTGAATTGTCAATTCGTTAAATCACAACACAAGATTCTAACGGCAAACCCTCGCAGCTGCGTAGGGAGCGGCAGGCAACCGTAATCAGGAACCGCCTGTGCCGCCTACTCTGATGGTTATAAATGCTGCTCTCCGGCAGCCCGAGTCAGCTTTCGCTTGACAGCTCAACTAGAGCGGACCCCTCTCTCTAAGTTCGGTTGCCACTCAAATACCCTAACCTCAGACAAGTAACTGCAAATAATCGCTATTTCGCAAGTAGCTCTCGTGAACATGTGGCAAGGAACATCTATGCCAGTGAAGTCGTCACCAAATCAATGCTTACAACACCGACGACACTAAGACCTCACCAACAACACCGTTCCCTTTGACAGCTGGGTGGCCGCAGGTATTTGATCAGTGTAATGATGTACATGCTTTGTTATCAGGTTGGAAAGAAAGTACTGCGACCCTTTGATTAAATTTTTCTAGAAAAATATAAATCATTTTGAATGATTTCGCCCCTTAGTGGAGAGTGTTCGTCGAGGTTGCAGTCGGGTATATTATGACTTTGTGGAAGTTTCAAGGCTTGAATGTTCCCCAAAACTCAAGGTACTTCTGGACCTATCCCATATTATGGGTTCCTGTAGGGCCATTTTGCCGTAGTCGAGGGAAGCTAACACCCACGTTGTACTTGGGAAGGATATTGCTTGCCATAGCAGAGGGTCCTGCTTTGTATCAGCCCTGGCAAGCTGGAGTTATCCAATTCGAAGGTGAGGCAACATGGATGTCGGCCACCACCACAGAATGACGTCCATTTACATTTACTTCTTGAGGCGCAGCCGAGCGGAACCACCAGTAAGGTGGCAACCTCTCTAGGCTGCACCTAACAACTGTCATGCTTCTCCTCAATCCTGTTTGTAGGGAAAATTTTCTGTGAAAGATGCCACATGGGTAGCACCAGCCTGACGAAGCCCACCGATATGGTCGTGACTGAGTTTTATCTTCTTTAAACACAGTGGAGGTACTTTTCGTGAGGCATTGTGGTTAGTAACAAGAACCGGGTTCCTTGCGCACATCATTTACATGTTCCTCACAGGATCTCTCATGGAGAAAAGTAGATTGCTCAGCCAAAAGCAGATGTGCATGGAATAAAGATTTCACTGTGTTATTGGTGGGACTTCAAAGCGATGTCGCTGGATACTGGCACAGCAGTGACGGCCACAGTCCACTCCAATCAACTTCAAAACATGGATGACGTCACGCTTGAATTCATTCAGAAATACTCAATTTTTCTCTACTACTCGGCAATGCGAAGACCGCATGTGGTGGTGAGGCTACGCCAAAAGATTATGGATCTCGACCAGGGAATGCAACTGTACCCATCTTATTCACCGAATTTAGCAGCCTCCAATCACAAACTGCTTTGATCCCTGCTACATCTTTTAGAAGCAAAAATTCCAAAAATCAGTGTCCACTCCAAAATAAGGTCCACCTCTTTTTTGATCTAGTTGTCATAGTTCTACAAGAGTGGAATCGAGGAGCTGTGCGAAAGGCACTAGTCCTGAAAATTAACATGTTCCAGACTGACACCCATTTCGCATGGCGTTCACGTGTGACCGAAGCCTTTTTCGATGCGAGGCAGGTTTTAGTCGCAATTTTTCCTCACAGGTTACTTCACTCTGAAAAATTGTACATGGGGGTCTTTCACATCCCACTCACGAATATGATTCATTTTTGGCACCGGCGCCGTTCGTCGCCACCGGGCGCCCACGATCGTTTCGAGCGGAATTGATGTTACTTTACATTTGGCGGTGTTCTGAAATCGCGATCACGAATATGACATTCATTTTTGACGCCACGACTGCTCTTACAAGGGAGGTCGTTCAGGGCGTGGTGCGCTTTTCGAAAACGGTTTTTTGCATATTGTAGGGGCTCATGCAAGGACCTGAAAAGTGTGCTTCATTTTCGCTGCGCGCTTCCAGGAAAGGTAAAAAACGAGTGAAAAGAAATCTTTGGAATCTGCTTCGTTCTGGGCCTATGCGGCGTAGGTCACTTGCAACTTTGACCAGTTGCTGAGTGGGGGTCCTTATAAAGGGGCTATTTGAATCGAAGCGAAAAATCGCCGCAAGTGAGCTTCCAACTTGGGTCATGTGCTCAAGGGTGAACGGCTTCTTGCATGGTTTCATCAACGATAAGACTGATAAGGGGTCAACTATACTGTCAACAAATTGAATGGTATACTCTGAAATTAAGGAAGATCACACATTTTTTTTTCGACTTGCGTTGGTAAGGCTACTATAGTACTTATACCTTTCAAGTTGTGAAAAGCTTTTACTAATAGTTAGCTATTAGTTCGAGCATCGGACTGGCCTAGCGGATTAGATTGGAGGTTTCGCAATCGGATTAGTAGAAAATGGGACTGTGATGGTCCGGCTCCCTTGCGGATACGTAGGCCTTTGCATTTTTTAGATTTCGCTGTTCTCGCTTCCATTTGTGTCTGCGCATGAATATAACTCGGATATTTGCCATTTATGGGCACATTCTGAGTAGCTGTACCTCATGAGTCAGTGCTACCCACTATTCCAATTTTCACGCATCATTGAACAAGGTTGTAGCTAGACGTTGCTCCTCATAGGCTATACAGTGGATCTGATTGCGAATTTAGTAACTTCTGGTGTGGTGTCAATTATAGACAATTTGGGGCCACATCTTCTTTCCACTGAATTCGTTATGTACACCAATATAGGGAACGTTCAGCGCTATTCTGTCGCCAAATTGCGTGGACGCCAAGAATAGGTGTTATATTTGTGATCAGGGCCACTGATTACCACTAAAAACGAATTTTCGGTCAAAACAATTGTTTTGACCTTCTTGGGTTTGCTTATTGGGTTGTCCGGGTCCGTAGCGTCAACGATACGTCATCGCTGTTACGAAGATGTGAGACTCCGCTCACACTGCCGACCAAATGGTCGGTCACCTACAACCCGAAAAAAAAAAAAATTTTTCGCTCAAAACTTGCTCCTAGGGGTAATCGACAGTCCTGATCACGATTCTAGACTTTATTTTCGGTTCCAGTGCCATCTGGCACCGGCATAGCGCCGAAGAGCTGAGTCTGTGCATACTAACGAATTCGAACGAAAAAGCAGTTTTGCTCCATAAAAGTAGGATTGTTCAGTTTATCGTGAATGTTTTTGTTAGGACCAATTATTTAGACAAACATGGATCCAAAAAATGAAAAATTGTAGAAAAGCAAAATTTTGTCCTCGGTGGGATCCGAACCATCGACCTATTTTTTACGTTTTTTTTATTCGTAGAAGCGCGCAGCGAAAATGAACCTCAGTTTTCTGGTCCTCGTATGTGCCCCTACAATATGCACAAGACCATTTTGAAAAAGCTCACCACGCCCTGAACGACCTCCCTTGTTAGTTTGATGTAACTTTGCATTCGGGGTATTCAAGGATCGCGATCACGAATATGACATTCATTTTTGGCGCCGGCGTCATTTGGCGCGAGTTTGCAACGACCCTCTTCAGAAGTATCACATAGCTTGCAATTGGTTTCTTTGCATTGATATGTGAAATGTGAAAGGATTTATTGGTAAAACAGCGTGCCAACATAACGGAACTTCAGCTTCAACTCCAACAATTCGTTCCATTGACAAACCTTCTGACACAACAAATGATCCTCTTCACCTCTCATTTCTGGAACAACGTCCTAACAAGAACCTATCTTCCATTATTTTTTTCTAAACGACTTCACAGCACTGTGGTACTTTCAGTTCAAGCTCCTGTACACGATCGATGTTTCTCCTAGGAAGCACTCCAAGCAGAAGACATGCCACATGCGCTGCAATGTGTATCTGTTCGTTTGCACCGAGCCGCCGCATACTTGGAGTAATATTGACTTGTCATCCTTTGGTAGCAGATTGTGCTTTTTCTTCTAGCTTGTCGTCTCGGTCCTGGCAAATGTACACGCCCGTGCTTTCGAACAGGGGCTCTTGGCTGGAGGGTTTTTTTAGAAGATATTCAACTAGCTGACACCTTGAATTCATGCAAGGGCATTTGTCTTGGCGATGTTGATGAGCTTCGATGCGCTGACTAGAGTTGTTTGAGTAATCAGATGAAATGCCAGTCTGAGATACCATTTCGTAGTCTTGCGAACGAAAGTGGTATATGCCGCCATCTGGTCTGACAAATCGATATAACTTTCACCTGGTTATAGTCCTCTACAACATGTGGCTTGCTGTTGATGGTTTGGATACCGTCGTGCTTGGTGGAGAACATCGAGACGTCTCTTTCGTCTTTCCATTATAACACGGTGACGCCTGTTCCATTTTGTAGAGCGATTTGTTCGCCTCTTCTTAATTTTTTGTAGAGCATCCTCCTTCGGTACATCCTTTCCTGTTCTTGCGGAGTGTGCCAATCGGATGAGTATCCCGAACGACCACAGAAATCGTGGCGTAATAGTGAATGCATCTGTATAAATGCATTTTCTACCGTCCAGTAATCCGTCCATCGGCTTCAACACAATGTTCCTGGTAGTGACCTTGCCGGCTGACATCCTTACCTGCATACACGATGAAGCGACAGGTGTAGCCACCTTGCATGCAAAGCTTGGACAGCTTGATCCACACTTGTGCGTCTTTCCTTTCTCATACTGTCGGAACAACACTCGGTCTCTTAATGGAACTACGCCGCCCGAAATGTGGTAATAGTGGCTACCTTGTAATTGGAGATGTCTCTTAGCGAAGAAAAATTTGGTCCGAAATTTTGGTGAAATTCGCAGGACTTTCTTTCCAACCTAATCTAATAAACATTGTGACAACAACTGTGATCTGATCTACAGGAAGGGAAGGTGTTCATAGCAAAAAAAATATAGCGAGAGTAGTTGTATGGACTCAGTATTTTGGAAACCCAAGGGACTCAGTATTTTGGAAACTGTGTCCATACACTGCGCCTATCTTCGCAGTATACGGCATCGCTTTGAGCTCTTTTGCAGGAACTTCTGAGCTTTTTGGCAGCCAGTCGCTGGAAACATTGCGTGCGTTCGAAACGCTAGATCGATATCTTCACTTTCCTGGTCGCTCCGAATACAGGCGTACACTCAAAACGCTGCGTTAATCAAGGATAAATATGAGAAACACGATGAAAATGTGCCATAGTAAATCAGTAATAAATCTGAGTCATAGTAAATCATAAATAAATTAAGAAAAGTAATAAATTATAAATGAGCATCAAAAGACACAAGGAAAGAAAGAAAATGCGGGAAAATGCGAGTGACAGCACTTGAATATTTATTGTTCGCGGTCATTCAAAGGTGAGCGCGCTTACGCAGTGGTATTGGAGCGAGCTATTTCACGACCCGGAGCCAGTTTCAAGCCAAACACTCGAAAAGTACCCCTCACTTGAACACCCATAACTTCTTTGAGAGTAGAGCTTTTGGAGAGGGGAAAGCAGGACTGTGGAGCACTAGGTTGGCACTTGTTACCTGAGTTGAAGCGATTTCAAAAAAATTCCTTCTCAAGAAATGTTCTCCGGTGTGATCATCGGAGGTCATTACAAGTCCTTACGCTTTGAACAGCCATGGTAAGCTTCATAAAGGCCATTCGTAAAAAGGAAACAGTGATGGAATTTCAAAGCTTTCTACTTTCCAGCAAGACTTTCATTTTATCCCTAGGCCTGCTATTCGAAAAAATCCCCCGTTGTGATCACAACGCAACCCCTGCCGGACGACACGAAAAACCCACCCATCCGACGCCATACCACTTCCAGTTCGTTTGAAGGCTTTGGTATGCTTCTAAAACACATGTTTTCGCCAAGGATATCAGGAAATAGTTCATTGGGCGCCGATTGGCATCACCTCTGTAATGCGCCATGCATAGGGCTTTCACGCAGAGGTATTGGGAAGGTGCAACTTCTAGATAGGGCTTCCTCCGTGCAAGTAGATGTGCTCCTGCGATCAGAAGGTCGGAAGTGTTTTTTATCTGTTTATTAATTCATGACGTCGTTGTGGGCGGCCATCGTATTTCCTGTCATCGTGTTCCCCACTTCTGCGCTGGCAGGTTGCTTCTGTCTTGTGTGTCTCTCTTCAGATATTCTTCACATGGATAAGTCCATCATTGGAGCGGGGTATCGCTGCACCCTCACTTCAGAAAGGGCCCTGCGCTTACGACCCCCCCCCCTCCTCAAGGTCAAATACGACCCCCTGTTGTGATCATCACAACGATGGCGTGCCTCGGTATGAACACAGCCTAAGGTGATCACAAGGGCCAATAAAAGACTTCAAGTCCGAAGAATGAATCATCAAAGGGCAAGCACAGGGTGCCAGACTAACTAAAACTCATGGTGTAATTGTCCTAACAAGGGAATGGTTTGAACTTCCCATGGAACTTTGAATGGAGACCTAGGTACATCGATAGAGCCTCGAATGCTGATTACGAATATGCAGATTAAAAGTGCTACGGGGACCTCCCAGACGAGATCTGGGCGGTCAGTTTGCGAAAACTCAGTTTTGGCTCGTAAGCGCTGCTGATCGATGGCTAGGCAGTGCCACCGTGGCCTAGTGGTAACGGTCTCGCTTCAAAGGCAAATGCTTGTGGGTTTGCATCCCGTTGGCGCGAAAGTTTTTGCTTCGTCTCCTATAGAGCTTTTACTCTAATTTTCGAAATTCTTCCGAGTTTACGACCCAGCAGAGCAAGTAGATCAAGTATCAAGTATATGACGTACTCGATCGAGTATGGATTTGGTCACTATCTGCCCTCTCTGAACTCATTACCCATCCGACAATTCGAAGTTTTGGCCAGAAACTCGTTCCTGGGGGTATTTTGACCCCTGAACACGAATATCACATCCGTTTGACGCGAAAACGATCGGTTCCCTCGTTCAGTTGACGACCACAACAACGTGAAAGCAAGCGTTTCTCGTCAAACGGCCGTGATATTCGTGTTCAGGGGTCAAAATACTCCCAGAAACCAGTTCTGGCCAAAACTTCGAATTGTCGGATGGGTAATGAGTTCAGAGAGGGCAGATAGTGACCAAATCCATACTCGATCGAGCGTCATATACTTGATCTACTTGCTCTACTTGCTCTGCTGGGTCGTAAACTCGGAAGAATTTCGAAAATTAGAGTAAAAGCTCTTATAGGAGACGAAGCAAAAACTTTCGCGCCAACGGGATGCAAACCCACAAGCATTCGCCTTTGAAGCGAGACCGTCACTAAGCCACGGTGGCACTGCCCGGCAATCGATCAGCAGCGCTTACGAGCCAGACTCAAACTTTGACCACCCAGATCTCGTCTGGGAGGTCCCCGTAGCACTTTTAATCTGCATATTCGTAATCAGCATTCGAGGCTCTATCGATGTACCTAGGTCTCCATTCAAAGTTCCATGGGAAGTTCAAACCATTCCCTTGTAAGATGTTTTTCTATATGCGCGAGCATGTTATAATCACAGTAGGCTCCCGCGACAACACGTACTTCGCGATCACGCGACTGGACTGCACGATCACGAAGTGTGAACGCGCCTTGAGAAAGAAGTAAGAAAAACTACCACAGCGGAAAAACTCACATACCAGCCCTTTCAAAGGCAACTTGATATTATTTTTGGCTGCAGCTTCTCGCACCCATGTGGCAATAAACGTCGCTGTTCGTTCGATACCATCCAAGTTGTAGTTTGTACCAGAAGACGATGTCTCCGCCAGTGTTTCACCAGCCGCATTCACAAATACTAATTTCGATGCTGTTGCACCACTGAAAAGTTCAGATATAAATAGCATCCCGGGCTGGTTGATAAGAAACGTTCTTTACTCAATTTGCTACAGGCCATCGAGCATGCTAATAGTAGCAGAAATCAGAGAACGTTAAAAAAGCTGACAGATTATTCATTACGAATCTACCGAATCAGATAATGGTTAGGAAAGCACATATGGAACTTATTAATAAACACGGAAATAGATGACAGTCTGATCAAGACCGTGTAGAAAGCTGGTTTAGTTTTGTATGGACACTAAACTACACGCGTGCTGTACTAGGTGATCACTATCTACTATGGAATCTTTTTCAGTTCTTCCCAATGAAAGACTCTGGAGCAAGAGAAGTACGAATGAAACAAATGTCCCGTATATTCTATACATCACCCTCGCTCCCACCTCGCACTGTGCTGGTGACAGCAACGGGCAGACGGACTGGATGGTTTACATAAGAGAAACGTACGTGTAATCGATTTCATTGAACGGTTGGTTACTTACCCCTCAATGCCGCAGAATATCTCATCAGTCATTTCTCGTCTGTAAACTACACAAATTTGAACACTATTTCCACTGACTTCTCTGGTTCGAATAAGACGTCCTTGAAGATTGTTGAGTACGAGAAGGTCTTCAATTGACCAGTTGTCACTGTAAACCGTACAGAAAGTCATACAACAATATGCGCCGTGCAATATCAACAGTACACATAAATAATTGTGGGAATTTGGTTGATTGATACATTACGTGTGACTGAGCGAACAATCCCAACACACGAACTTACATACCAGTCTTTTTGTACAGTTGATAAGTTTTTGGCATTGAAAAAGGCTGAGATATCAAGAACCTTGCAGAAAACTGTAGAGGTTCCTAGATAAGGCTTAACAACATTGCAAAAAAGTATAGATGTTCTAATTGAAGCGCATTTCGGCTTGATGAAGGCGTTTTGCTGTTTCCCATCGATCATCTTATATGTGTACCGGGGAGACCTGTGAAGTTCTGTGAAGCTAAGCAATAGTATGAACCTAGCTTACACTTGACAAGACTGGTCTTACCGAGAAGTAATGGTAATTTGCAGCATCGAAAGTACATTGAAAGTACAAAATGCACCCCTTCCCCCACCTCGCTACTAAGCCAAACAGAGTCTCAATTAAACAAGTGCGAGGATAGTGATCTGTGCCGACTCCTATAACGCTCACATAAACACAAATTCTCTGAGACAGGGCACAAATTCGTTGTTGGTGAATCTCCAAAAAAAAAAAAAAAAAAAAAAAAAAAAAAAAAAAAAAAAAAAAAAAAAAAAAAAAAAAAAAAAAAAAAAAAAAAAAAAAAAAAAAAAAAAAAAAAAAAAAAAGGGGGGGGGGTCGTTGGGCTGGGAAAAAATTTATTTTGATAGTTGATTTTTCTCGCTTCATGGACGTTGTAAAGGGGGGTCGTATTTACGTTTTGGCGTTGTAGGAGTGGTGGTTGACTTTTGGTGATTTTCCTGTTTCATGCGTACTATATGCCGCCCCCCCCCCCCCTCCCCGCTCGACGGCTCGATTCGATGAGGAAGGACAGAAGAGGGCTGGGGTCGTACCAACTCCCAAAAAAAGGGGGGGGTCGTACAGACTCGACTAAAATCCCCAACCAATGATGTGCCCTGCTCTGGGATGCCGTATTCGTCGCTAGTACTATTAACATGACGGTAGCTGTGCTTTTGGCGAGATATTTTCATTTCGAAACAAATGCGGTCATGTCTTTGTCCAACGCAAAACAAGATCACTTAATCCTAACCCATCTTATACGAGTAACCCAACCTATGCCATGTTCAAATGCCACGCCTACTCCGTCTCAGGGATAAGGACTGTATGTTCAAATCGTTTTCTCCGATTTCCCTGCAAAAATCTTATCATCAGTTGGCTACTAAAATTATCAGATCCAATTAGGACAATCCACATTGTCATAAAAACATTGTAACTAACAATAAGTGTGGTAAAATGCTGCAAAGTGCAATATCCCCCTAGCAAGAGGGAATATCTACTGGGACAAATAAGAAAAAAAAGCGAAGAAATCTGAAGTGATTACGAATAAAAAAAGTCCGTGCAGTGGCGTTTTTACGCGAATAGCCACGCCGTTATCATGACGTGGCGCTCACGTGCAATGACACTAAACTCGATTTTTGCACTTCAAATTACACAAAATGTGTAGGAGAAAAGAAGAAAAGTGATGAAAAGAAAGTGATAAATGGACGAACTCTCGCACGGCATAACTGAAGAAGAAACGAAGCCTGGGAAACTTGTTGAAAAAATGACAGATTGTTGATATTAATGGACGGAAGGTGCAAACATCATAGAAGACATCCGCAGCGATCAAATAGTCGAGTTCGTAGAGATCATCCATGACCGATCTTATGCTCTTTTCATTCTGCCAGTCAAGGCCCTAAATCGAGGTGGTCAAAATCGACTGCAATGTTTCGAGAACTCCAATTAGCCCGAGGTTTCTGAACGACACTCTCATATCAATCTACAGGGAGTAACAATGTTATTGTCCGAGCTTATACATGAAACTATAAACTGCAGATGGAAAACTATCTTCACTTACTTTCACTTGGCAAGTATCCGACAACTCGTTCCGTTTGACATTTTCTTCTAGTAAGGACAAGATCTATAATAGGTTTCTTCAAAAGCCGACAGAAAAAGTTCATGCGAGCAGTTTGCTGTGAAAAAAAACA